CCCCCCTTCTGCTTTCCTCGGAGTAATAAGGGGGAGCCTGAGGCCCCAAGCCGCCGCGGTGACCTGCGGCAGCTCCGCAGACGCGGAGGCGGCGGCGGGGCGCTAGGGAGATCTCCACGCATCCCGTACACAAAGAGGCAGAGGGGGAGGGGGGCGGGGGCAACTAATACGCTGCGAATACGAAAAGTGAAAGACGACGCCGACGCGGCTGCTGCCGATGCCGCTGCCGCCGCTGCTGCTGCTGCCGATGCTGCTGCCGCCGCTTTGAAGAAGCACTTCTCACCTCCTCGCGCGCAGCGCAGGTGTGCGGCTAGGCGGCCAGCGGCTCCACCACCTATCACACGAACTCTGTCAGCACCTCCTCCGCGCGTACCCATCAGCACCATCAGCACAGCCACGCCGCCGGGGATCATGCCCCCCCCCCCACCCCTGTGGGGCTAGAAAGCCGCCTAAATGTAGGCAATTTGACCTACGAAACCCCTGTATGTAGGCAACTTTAGATACACCGCCCCCCCCCCCCTTCCTTAATAAGGCCCTGCGTTGCGAGTGGGGTGGATGAGCTTAGCGAGTCGAAAAGGCAGTTCACGACTACCTCTTCCTTGCTTCCCGACTGGGTCCGTTGCCCGCGGTGTACCCGTACCGGCTCCAGCTCGAGACTCGAGATGGTGATGGGGATCATGTGCGGGCGACGACACGACATTTCGTGTGTGTCGGCGTGTCGGCCTCTCCATCGCGGCAGCAAGTGGCTCATTGACCCCCCAGCGGCTTTCATCCACCTGCCGCATCTCCACGCCACGGCGCGCCACGCCCCCAGCCAGGTGGGCGCCATCATCATCAGCGTGAAATATTTCCCTCCCCGGAGGAAGAATATCGAACCCGCAACGCCTCCGCCGCCGCCGCGTCTCGCAATAACCCTAATAGTAGGCGGCGTGAGGTTTTCGCCTGCTCGGCTGTCGCGGCGGGGCGTGGTGGGGCAGGTCGGGGGTCGGGGCGGGCGCGGTTTCATGGGGAAGGGG